AGACATCAGGCATATCCTCAATGGCCCTTAGGCATTACCTAGGCAAAACTCATTTGACTTCAGTGGGAGCTTAACAAGTAAAGTTGTGCACAGTTTAGATATATTTTACCTAAGTGGCAATCAATATAGACTGCATTTATAACAGTCTGCACCTGTAATCACTTGGCCCCTATCACCATAAGTTATCAGAATAACCTTACACTCTTTAATATATTTATCCTCACAACATTCCTAAGTGATAAGGATGTACTATTTTCCTGATGTTTGGAGGCTGGAACCTGAGGGCCTGACTTGCTCAAGATCACATGCAGAGTTCATGGCAGATTTCATGGTAGGGGCTTGTATCTAGGTCTCAGAAGTCCCACCTTAGGCTATGTCTACACTGCAGAGTTATTTCAGAAAACCTCCAGTATAATGGGCTCGCTATTCTGACGTCCCTGTAAATTGCATTCCACGAGGGTTAAGGGACATTTCAGAATAGCGCCTTATTTTGAAATTGCCTCATAATAAGCTACGCAATTTGCATAGTGCAAATTGGTTCGTTTATTTTGAGGTAAGGGTGCTGTGTAGACCCTAAGAGACCTAGCCACCGCACTGTCTTTTAACTTCATCTAAACTATATATCATCCCACAATGCTTTAATAAATTGTCTACGGGACTTCTTTCAAGCACCACCAAAATGCAACTCTCTGCAAAGGAATATGGCAAGTTTTTAAGGGAATGATCCCGAACAGCCCACAGCAAAAATACACAGCGAGGACGCAAATAAAAAAACGTGAATATAATTCAAGGGCTGAAGGAATTTATAAAAGCAAAATGTAGTCATCAAAATTGAATAGAGACAGCACGGGCTGCCATGCTTATTCTTTTGAATCGCTGCGCCCCAAGCCAGTTGTGCCTTTTTCTGCTCTCTCTCCTAACACTTTTGGTAGGCCTGAGCTTGATAGTTTGGAGCCTTAATTCAGAATGGGAAGCTCTGAGCTCAAGTCCTTGCTCTAACATGGGCCTCCAAAGCTTACTGTGGACTAAATGTTATAAAGGTCACGTACCTATGGTTTTCCTGAAATGGACCTCTCTCATTTGCTGAGAAATTCCAAACACTTTCAAAACAAAACTGAATAATTTTTCTGATTTTTTTTGGGGGGGTGCTGTTTGCTTGTTGAACCAAAAGATCAATTATTCACCCATCTCTGCTTGTGGCCCAAATGAAAATGTTCTGGAAACTGCTGTGTTTATAACAGATCTTCATAATAAATCAATTCATTTACTTTGCAGTGAGCCAATTCCTGAAGGCCATGAGAGTTTTATTTGACAGTGCAAAGTATAACTACTTCAGGATTTTACTCTGTAATAGGTCCAGAGCGTCCTCACCATTCAAGCCAGACTGAGAACCAGTTCTTCTCTACCTTATACTGAATGTAGTAACTGATACATGTGCAAAAGGAGTTTCAAATGACTGTAAGATATAACCTAGTCAGAACAGACTGTGGTCTATGCAGTTTGCCCAGCTAAAAATGACTATGCAAGGTACAAGTATGGGTCTAACTGGTTTTTATGCCATTTTCACACACAGCTTTCCAACAGCATTACTTCGATGTACACAAAAATAAGATCAGCATCCATGTCTCTGGGATCTGCTGCCTTTCTTCAGTAATTTTTATGAAGATGAAAAAAAAGTCACAGAACACAACCTGGCTCCCTGTCTAGAGTTTCATTCCACACAACCAAAAAATGGGAAATTCAGTCCAAAACACTGGAAAATTACCCAGGCAGCTGTTGGAATGAATCCTTCCCATTAACTTCTTAGCTCGTCTCTTTCACATTCCAGTTTTCCTCTCAGGGAAAAGTTAGTGAGTTATGTAACCTCCTTATAGGGATGTTGGCATAGTGAGCCCATTATATTTTGATATCCATTATATTGTGGTATCCCGAAATAGCTCTGCAGTGTAGATGTAGCCCTGGGCTGCACTGTGGACTGGCTGTGTGAGGACAAGCGATCCTACCTCTCTCTGTGTCCCTTATCATATCTCTAAACCTGCCATAATGGTGCTTACCTCCCTTGTAGAACAGCAAAATATTTACATAAGCAGGTCTCTTATTTTCCTACTTACGTTTTATTTCTGTCTTTTTCTTTTTCCTTTCTTTTTCTAGATTTTTATCTCCCTTCAGAGGAGATATATGATCCATATTGCTAAGTGATTCATGTTGATAAGCAAAACAATGCAGAACATTGTTGTGAAGTGAGTTTGACAGTGTTAAAAATCTGACTGAACCATTGTAGGCAAAAGGATAATGAAGCACCAAGACCAAGTCCTGCCCTGTGTCTGGGCAGCCAGCACAATGAGGATGATAAAGGACCCTAGTAGGTGGATCATATACACAAGGAGGCCCATGCACACAAAAAGGGATGTATCCAAGGCTATCAAGACAGGACTTAAGGGTATTCTTGTCAAGTGGCCCTTGTTTCCACTATCAATTAACACACTAGAGGTACGTCTAGACTACATGGCTCCGTCGACGGAGCCATGTAGTCTAGACGTACCTCTAGTGTGTTAATTGATAGTGGAAACAAGGGCCACTTGACAAGAATACCCTTAAGTCCTGTCTTGATAGCCTTGGATACATCCCTTTTTGTGTGCATGGGCCTCCTTGTGTATATGATCCACCTACTAGGGTCCTTTATCATCCTCATTGTGCTGGCTGCCCAGACACAGGGCAGGACTTGGTCTTGGTGCTTCATTATCCTTTTGCCTACAATGGTTCAGTCAGATTTTTAACACTGTCAAACTCACTTCACAACAATGTTCTGCATTGTTTTGCTTATCAACATGAATCACTTAGCAATATGGATCATATATCTCCTCTGAAGGGAGATAAAAATCTAGAAAAAGAAAGGAAAAAGAAAAAGACAGAAATAAAACGTAAGTAGGAAAATAAGAGACCTGCTTATGTAAATATTTTGCTGTTCTACAAGGGAGGTAAGCACCATTATGGCAGGTTTAGAGATATGATAAGGGACACAGAGAGAGGTAGGATCGCTTGTCCTCACACAGCCAGTCCACAGTGCAGCCCAGGGCTACATCTACACTGCAGAGCTATTTCGGGATACCACAATATAATGGATATCAAAATATAATGGGCTCACTATGCCAACATCCCTATAAACCTTATTGCATGAGGGTTAAAGAACATGTTGGAATAGCGGTTTATTTCAAAATTTGGTGCTGTGTAGACAGTGCCAAATTCTGAAATAAGTTATTTTGAAATTAACACAAAATAAGCTATGCAATTTGCTTATTTCCACATCTACACTGCAACACTATTCCGAAATAACTTAGTCCGTGGCTACACAGCAGGTGGTTATTTCAAAATAGTGTCAAAATACTGTCAAGCTGGAGGACTTCTTACTCCGATTCCTGTAACCTTCATTGTATGAGAAATAAGGGAAATCAGAGGAAGTGTGCTCTATTTCAAAATAAGATGAGCAATTGACGTAGCTCAATTTGCGTAGCTTATTTTGAGTTAAGCTGTGCTGTGTAGATGCACCCACAGCTACCTCCAATGGAAAAGAAATGTTATTCTGCCCATGGCAATCTCCCTACCACCTCTGCCCTCACTTAAAAGACAATATACTGTATTCTATCACCTCTCCCGTTCTGAAGAGAAGCAGCAAGTTGAATCAATCATACATTACTTACAAGAATCTCTTGACTCCTGTGCATTGATGTAGTGCCAGAAATGTGGTATTTGTCAAACTTCTGTGGCTTAGTGTCACAGTCCTGGTCCAAGAAGAGTCTCAGAAGAGTCCAGGCACTATCTCTGGCTTGGGATCTCTGAATACACTTTTGGGGTGCAGATTCTCTTTCTAGCACCCCCTTTGGAGAACCCATCAGTCTGAGTGCCTGGGCTCTGTGACCTGTGCTGGTACCTCAGCTGCTTACACACGTCTTTTTCCACAGCTCCAACCATGAGGATTCTTTAGTTTACAGTGTAGTTCTCCAGGGAAACTGAATAGCTGCACCTGAGAGACATAGACCTTGCAATTATTTCTAGCACAATTACTCCTTACTCTAGAGAGCACCAGAGAGAAAGCTCTAGAGAAAAAAAAAAACTTGTATGCCATTCACTGCATCGCTTCCTGCAGCACTCTTTGGGATCTGAGCCAGTGTCCTTTCAGTCATCCAGGATCTTCCTCCCTCAACTCATGGCTTCCTTTCGGATCATGGAGTGAGACAGCCCATCTTTCCATTATCTCTCAAATGACCAATAAGAGACCCTTCCTTTTACAACTTCCAGACTTCTCTCTCAGGTGACTCCCTGGTCAGCCATCACTGAGTCCCCCACCAGGTGAATTCTTTGCCTGATTAGCAGCTCACTTAATAGAACCACTTTTCTTGGTGTAGCCACTGTCTTTGGCATACCCACTGTATTGCCCAGGTAGACCTATTCAAATGACAAGTCTTGATAGTCCTCTCACCCAACCCAGACACAGTAGTGAACAGATCACCTATTACTCTCAGCGAGTGTTTCCGGAAAGAAGATAATCCCCTGAGGTGAGGTAACAGGCAACACAAGATTAAACTGAGTCACATGTAATATTTCATAAAAACACTGCAAAAATCTCCCACATTCTCCACACCTAGAAATAATAAATTGCTTATATCACATTTTCTTTCCATTAGATTAATACGGTGATTGACAGAGAAGGAAAACTGATAGAATATTGACTAATTCAAGGGTAGGTATGAGTGACTCATGAGAAAAAACAGGAGGGCTATCTTTGCCACATAAAACTCCCACTAAGATTAATATCCAAACCATCATTCCACCTTCTTGATAGTGTATCTGGACTGAACATGGGCTACCCCAAAATAAATACTCAGGTGGAGCTTGAATATAAAATAACCCTCCCAAGATAAACATTCCCTGAAATGACCGAACAAACATATGGGTATAAAATTAGCTTTTCTACAGATCTTCCCTCTATCCTAATTGTTTTAACCAACCTGCAGGTTCAAGACTGAGGACTGCAAGCAAGAATGGAACAAAAGAGGTTCTGGTTACTGGCAATTGTCCTTATTTTAGGGCTCAGCAGCCTGGCTAATGGATACACACAACTATGTAAGTGTATTTGCTTAATTTTTCTTATGTTGATAATAAGCAAGGTTAATTCAACCAAATAATACATCCAAGGGAAGTCTGGGAAAAAAACTGAATTGTGTCTGAAGAGTTCTGTTAAACCAAAATGCTCTTTCTTGGTGATTGTATCCTTTTACTCACCATTATTATCAGTAATAATTATTATTTCTTGAACAGCATTTGGCCCAAAAGTTTACAATCAAATTAGCTTCAATTTTTTGTTGCATGCTGTAAAATCTGTCTTCTCTGCCTATTACCAAGTACAGTATGTAAACCACACTAAGTGAAATGAAATAAAATTTAGGATTATTTTAGTATTTTTAACACTACCATTTTATATAAAATCTGCTTTACTGCAGTTAGCAGGGTTATCACAGAATGGAATCTTAATGCTTCTACAATGCCTGGCAATGGAATGCAAAATTTCTTATTACAGATTCAGCTTATTAGTAACAACTAAATGTGAGAACCATAAATTAAGACATTCTTATTATTTTCATATACAGAACAGCTAACCAACGCATTTTAAAAATAATGCCCATATGTTAATTAGCTCATGTGGTTTCCTTTGCCCCATTGGTAGCCATATCACTGTGTTAAGTTTAAAAGATATTAGCCTTTATCCCACAAACACTCACACACGAGTGACTTTAGAGTGCTACAAGGTCTCACTAATTACACACCTATGTCTGCAGGATTGGGGCTGGTGTTTAAAAAAATGAAACACACTATGCAGGTTTTTAATAGCTTTAAAAAAAATCAGTGCCAATTCCATTGGGCTTTAGACTGCTCTCGCTTGCACCCATCATTTTTGTATAAGTAATTGAAGGTCTTAATGTTTTTCAGGAAAAAAAATGTTAATGACAAACTATCCCAGTCAGACATGGCAATACCTTAACAGCAATGAATTCTCTTCTCTAAAAAGAGCAAGACTTTGTGGTGATGAACAGATGAGGCTCTTATGTAGACAGCAATCGGAGTTTGAAATCCAAAATGGCCATTAGTCCTAAATTGAACTTCTTCAGTTATGATATGATTCTGTAACAAAGACTTTTGTCTCAATTATAAAGCTTGGTCTACAGAAGACCAGGCAGGTTGTCTTAAGGAATGCAACACCAGCTATGCAGAATGCATAGCTGGAATTGGCTGACCTTAAGACAAGCAGTAGCGGCATCCACACCCACACAGTGGGAGACTGATGGGAGCCTTACTCCTTGCAGAATGAGAAGTATTGGATGCCGATGGGAGCTGCCTTCAGCCTTGGATTTACAGATCTACATTAGACCTGCTAAACTGAATGCTAGAAGATTGACCTCCAAAGGGTTGATCGTCTTGCTAGTGTAGACATGCCTAACTGAATACACAATGCTTGTTACTGTAAATTGGAACTATAAAGTAACAGTAATGCTACTTTATAGTAGCATTAAAACAAATCTGACCCAGGACAACTTGTCAACGGATCATGAAATTCTGAAGCAATGGGAGAAAATTGTAGCTGAGATGCAGAAACAACAGAAGTGAAGTGGGTGGTGGGTGATACATAGTAAGCATGAATGGAAAGGAAAGTGAAAACTAATATAATTTGGGGAAAAGTAATTAAAAATTGTGTGACAAATTGGCATGTTAATGTACTTACTTGCAATGAACCATGTTGGTAAACACTGTACAATTAAAAGCACTGGAAAATCTCACATCAATGGCACTATTTGAATTAGTAAGGCCTGCTGCATGAGTGACATTTGTCAGCATTAAGTCCCACAGTTGCAATTCATTTGGATCCTGATGGATCAAAGCTCTAAAGCACATGGTTACCTTTACGGACATAGACCCCTTGACTTCAGTGGGAGTACATATGAGCTTAAAGATGCTTGGATGAATCTGAGCCTCTAGAAGCTAAAAGCAGATCAAAGAAATTTTTGTCAAAAGCCACAAGCCAGAAAACAAATCAAAAGAACACAAAATTATATAGTTGTTGGTTTGGTTTAAAAAAAAAATCTCAGTTTTAAAATCAATGTAATGAGTTTCTGGGACCTAACTCTCAATTTTTGAACACTCGAGGTTGGCAATACTGAAATTGTAAGTCATCGTCTCTGAACAGTATTCTCACAGGAGGAATAACAGCTGCAACAGGAAACAGTAACATTTACAAAGAATTAAAAGTTTGAGACAGGGCTCATTTTCTTACATCTGACACCACCATTGTTATCGAATGGATGGGAGATTGTAGCCAAGGTATTGTTTGTTCCAGCAGTTTAGTTATAAAGAAAATATATTTATAGAAGCATTTGATGTCAGTGTCCGACCTATTACCATGACAAGGTACATTTTATGCATATTGAAACTAAGGGACATATTTTGCCCTTGGATGCATCAGTATTGAAATCAACGTGAGCTTCAGCATCCTATGTTATGTTAGGCTGGGTAAGGATCTAAGAATTATAAACCCTCATGTTTCTTATTTCATAAACCAATCTCTAACAAAGAGGTTTGAAAGGAACTTCCTCTTTAGGCAGAGAATTTCAGAATTACTTGTTCTAGGGTCTTTGCACCTTCTTCTGGAGCACCTGATCCTGGTCAATATCAGAGATGAGATCAGTGCTTCTCAAAGTGGGCCACAGGCCTGCTTTGGTAAAGCTGTTAGTAGGCCCACACTGCTGTTTACCTAAAGGGTCTAGAGCCTTGCACTCTCTTTGGCTGGAGATGATGAATCAGAGCCAATGGGAGCTGCAAGACACTATGGTTATGGACTCTTTAGGTAAAAAAAGCAGCGCAGGCCCGCTAGTTGACCATAGCCCACTTTGAGAAGCACTGTTCTAGGTGGACTTCTGGTGTGATGTGGCAGGATCATTCCTCCGTTCCTGTACACTTCAGTGTGGGCACAATGTGAAGACTACAGGGCAGAGTGGCCCTAAATCATTAAATGAAACTCAGACACTCAGTTAACACATACTTTGTTTTAAACAGTGCAGGAACAATGTGCGCTGCAGCCATTCGCCAGAGTGAACTGTGGCTATCCATATATCAGTGCTGAGGAATGCAACAATAGAGGATGCTGCTTTGATAACAGTATCCCTGATGTCATCTGGTGCTTCTTTCCTGGGCCAACGAATGAAGGTAATAGAGCCAGCGGTCTGTTTTTCCCAGTTCCCAAATACACAGAAAACAACACTGTAGTATAGATTTGCTCAGTGTGATTAACCTAAACCAATAGATGAAGGGAGAAAATCTTCTATAAAAAAAATTACATTTCTGGGCGGGATTAATATGAGAGCCTCTAGGAAGCACAGAACACATGGAACTAGCCAGGGGCAGAGGAGGCCAAAACCTTTAATATACTTTGGGGTACCTTCCTAATTCTGGGAACCTTCCAATTCTAGGCTAGTCAGTGGCCAAAACTTGGCAGTACATGAGTGAGAGAAAGGATGGGAAAAAAAATCAGTGTGGGGGAAAGGCAAGGACATGGAGAGTGAAATAGGAGAGTATCCACCTACATATTCATTTCTTAATATATTTGATTATTTTTACATACATAATAAGCACCATCTGATATACCCAAGACTGCACATTTCTGGAGTTCACATAGGGTTTGTGTCTTGTAAATGAATATTGATGGGGAAACATGGAACTAGTGGTGTCCCTCTGTAAAACTTTAGAATTGAGCAAAATTTGGAATTTTAGTCCTATGGGAAATCTGACATTTCCACATTTGTGCTCATCCCACAAAAGGGTGAAGAATGGACATTTCTATTTATTCATTTATTTTTGCATAATGTAAATTCTAAAAAAATATCTGATTCAGGATTGTTGAAATGATTGAAATGTAGTGTTTTGACATTCCCAAAATAGAAATGCTTCAATTTACTGAACTGAACCCAAACATTCAACATGAATCTGTATTTTCCCATTGTGGCTCCTTGCCTCTGGGGAGCTATAGGTCAGGTTCTTGATGCCCCTATCCTTCCTTATGAGCCAAGCTTCCTGGACAGACTACATCTCACATACACTCAGAGTCATGTTACTCCCAGGATGCATCATGCAGCTTGATCAGAGGGCAATCCACATTGCACTGTGAGAGATGTAGTATTCCAGAGAGCCTGGTCAAAGGAGATAATGGGGATCCCAGCCACATAGCTCCCAAAAGGTAACGAACTGATAGGGAAATGCAGCTTAAATATTTCATTGAACTGATTCAAAGCAAAATGTTTTGGATCAGTTCAACAGAACAAAATATGCCGAATCTCGGTTTATCTGACCCAAATTGAAATATTTCATTGCAGTTTTTGCTGGAAAATAATTTGGGGACGGAGGGGGGAAAATTCAAGTTTTCCTATGGAATTTAAGATTTCACTAAACTCATTTTCCACAAGAAAATCATTCCCAACCAACTGAAATAAACACTCTGAAAATTAGCTAGCACGGTCTCTGACATGGAATGGATATATTTTGTGTTGGAAGCAGATATCAATGATGTTGTTTTGTTTTGTTTTTATTTCAGAATGTGTCCTCTAGAATGAATCTGGCTCCCTCCACTGAAATTCCTTAAGCAGGACAAGAACAGAAAGCTTGCCCATCTTACACTATGATCTCCATTAATTGCCAAGCCATTTTTGACAAATGTACTTTTGCTTTTCAGTGAGATGGCTCTCCACTGTTGCCCACAAATGTTTCAATACTTTACTATACCAAAAGCATGTCTTAAAAAATAAAAGCAGCAAATTAAACACTTTATAGCAGTTTCCAATTCTTCCACAATTACTTTGGAGCTAGATTCTGGTTTGTGAAAGGGAGAAAAAAGGATTATGAATCCCCCCAACATCCCCACAGAGGCACTTGGATATGGGTTTTTGTGAGCAGGTATGTGGGAAAGTAATTGATATGGACAGATGCTTTACTTACAGTAAAGCAGGAAGAATAACAGCTAATTCCATTTAGGGCTTTAATTTGGAATCCCGTTTCACTGCCGCGTTTCACTTTTCACCTAGGTCTAAACAAAGACATTAATTATCTTACCCATTACAAAGATAGCTTCCCCAATTATTACCTCTAATATCATTAGCTCACAGACATTTACCTCCCCTCGCATCCCCCTTCTATTCTGAAATGTGATTTGTCCTTTTCATATGTGTTCATTTTTTTGATTGTATCCTTTGGTATATATGGTCGTGCCAATTTTCTTCCACTATTTGATCTGAGGAAGTGGGTCTGGCCCACAAAAGCTTATCACCTATTAAACCATCTTGTTAGTCTTGAAAGTGCTACATAGTCCTGTTTTTTGCTTCATATATTTCCTGCGTAATTCATAATCCTGGGATATGAGAGTATGCGTTTTCTCCAGATTTCTATTCACAAATTTTTCTTTGGGTAAGAAAGCCCCTGGCATATGTTGGGCTTGATTTAGAAAAGGAGCCAGCAACAGTAGACTTCCGATAATCCGGAACCTATGGGACCTAGGTGGTGCCGGATTATCAAATATGCCGGACTATCAGGAGGTGCAATAAGCTGGTTATATATATATATATATATCCACACATACATACATACACTGTATATAAAATGTTCTTAACCCTTTTTATTGTACATACTGTATACAGTATACTGTAATGTTTTAGGTTTTTTAAGCCTTTTTTTACCCTTTTTGCTCAGTTCAGCTGCTGCTGCTGTTACCTTCTGACTCATTTTTTGCCAAAGCTCACTCACTAGGCTCTTGCCATTTTGATGCCGGACTATCAGGAGTGCCGGACTATTGGATGCCGGACTTTTGGAGTTTTACTGTAATTTGCACATACAGGAGAGCATGAGCAAATTGACTGTGTGTGTATGTGGCCAATGAGATACATCATGTCCACTTGTGCACACAGATACCTGCTTTATGGGCCCTGCCACAGTAAATACACACACAAATCAGCCATGCAATAGTAATTGGTTTTTGCACATGTAATTGCACATCTGATCTTTTGATAACCAGGCCTTTCCTTTAAAAAGAAACATTCACATTGACAAGTGATTTTAAGCCAGTTATGTCTCTTCTACAAGCATATGCACCATCATGACTCCATGGGCTTGTCTACACTGTGGGGGCTATGGCAGCATTGCCATGGCATTGTAGCTATGAAGTCATAACCCAATAATGTTGATGGATCCTACAGTGATGGAAATGGATTTTCCATCCCTGTAGGAAAACTACCTCCCAAAGACACGGTAGCTACATTAATGGAAGAATTCTTCCATTGGTATGGCTGCTACTACCTTGGGGGGTCAGGACAGCACCCTGAGTATTGTAGCTATGTCAAAATAGAACAGGTCTAAGACTCTTGGTTGCCACCTGTGTCTTTGAAGAGCTTATTTTTTCCTCTCCAGACAAAGTTTGAGAGTATAAACATTCTAAATGTCAAGGATATTAGGAAACAATCACCTAATCATCAAAAGTTTGTCCAATGAAATGGTTAAATACTAGGCTGTATTCAAATGGTGTTCCTTCAAGAGGCATTTTTTAGAAGTCATGCATCCATCTAGCACCTTGCCTACCAATGAATACCAAAGCACTTTGCAAACTTAAACTGAGATACAAA